GGTCCTGTGAACGTGATTGACCTTTTGCTGATTTTTTTTCCTTTTGCACTTATTAAACTATCTCTGAGGAAATCTTGTGACAAAATTCTGAAAAAGTGGAACTGTACAAATTTCTAAGTTAGACAATCAGAGAAAAAAAAAAGCAGTATTCAAGAGGATTTTTTTTTTAAAAAAAGGAAGGAAAATATACTAAGTAGAAGATGGCTTCATGCAATGCTAATCTAGATTATTCGGTAATTTAGGTGATTGAAATTTTGTATGAAAACTTCCAAGAAGTAGAATACAAAAAGGTCCGAGTAAATGCATATAGAATCAATTATTGGTATGATTCTCACTTGAAAACGTGAACAAAATATGCTGGCTTGCTTACATTTTCTGTACTTTTCCATCTTGGCCCAAATCTCACAAATCCATATTTAATCTCAACTTCCCTTATTTAGAATTGTAAAACATATTATCAAATCAGGAAGGAAATATATGTCACTATAATTTAAAATGTTATAAAGATGAACATGCAGAGATAATGATCAACGCTTTGTAGACTACTTCATCAGAATTTTATCTGACAATAGCAGCTATAAACTCCTTGCTTTGGTCCATTTTCCTGTGAATCATTCATTCTGGAGTAACATGAGAATCAGCACTAAACAATGTATTGAGAATTGTTCAAAGGATCTTTGAAATATTTCTCTGATTTAATTCTAAGAACAAATCTGCATGAGTCAGTGTTTAATTCAAAGAGGACTAGAATAGTGAAACAAACAAAAAGTCACTGTTTTCTATAAATCGATGCTGAAGACTCGGATTAGTTTCTCATAGTATTCAACTAGTTCTTTTCTGGCTTTGTTAGCTATTGCTTTGGAAAGTTTTTTTTAATTAAATCTTGGGTTTTTTTAGGTGGAAAGAAATTTCAGTTTCGAAGGAGTAAGTTGTTATATAAGACTGTGCCTGCGAATAATGTGAATTGAGAAAGGATTCCCACTTTAAGATATCTATAATAATGAATAGACTGAAGTGAAGAAATTGATTTTCCAATCCCTCCTGATCTCCTCAAACACTTGCTTGATTCTAGAATTCAAAATGCTATTGAAAGGCTTACTTACTTTGCGGGATCAAGGCCAATAACCAGCCAACTTCCATGAGAACAATTAATTGCATTGTATTCCCCATCCTTTGACCTACAAAAGAAGTTTTAGGAAAATTGGACAATGCATTGCATTTTTGTCAATTGCTCTGCTCTGCTCTAGATTATGCAATACAACAAGCAAACTCTACCTTATCCTATTTCTTCCAGTGAATAGAACCAATACAACCCAATGGAAAAGGAAAGACAAATAATACAAATTGTATATGCATCATTAAGAAAAATGTTATTTATTTTGAAAATAACACTAGTGTGACAATACTTTTTATGAAGTCTGGCTAATAGTGGTTGCTGGATGTAGAAAGATATATATTTATATATGAGCTGTATTGTAATAATTGTAGGTTAAAACGTTATAGAAAGATGGAAAATTAATAAAGATGAAACCAAGTTTGCAAAAATTGATAGATGATCCAAGTTTATCATGTTTCATTCAAGACAGAAATTGTTTTGATTCACTCTTCTTCTTACCAAAACTAATATATATAAACACACATATATATAAAAACCTCACAAACCCAATAACCAAGCAAGCCAATTATCAGCAATATAAAAGTACCATAGTGAATGATTCTCTTTAAAAAATATATTATCTTAAGTCAAATTATGGCTATTAAATTCACAACGGCATAAAGGCCTTTTGGTTAGTCAACTCTTCCTTTCTCTTCTCCATCTAGCCAATGTGAAAGACTCATCAACATTGTTCACTTATCTACACTTCAGGAGGACAAGCTAGAACTGGCAGGCCTTGGTGTCATTTGGGACAGGAGACCTAGCAAATCAGAAAGGAAGCATCTGAAAAAAACATAGCACCTAATAATTTGGGGCTAGGGAAAAGAAAAGTTATCATTTTTCTTTCTGACAGATTGGCTATCATTTAGCTTTTGAGTGTGTAGAAGCAACAGTAGCAGCAGCAGCAGCAGCAGAGTCTTCTATGGAATAAACCAATCTTTATCTTAGATCAACAAATGTTTCCAAAAACAATGTACTAGTACTGCTTCACACTGGAGAGTGGCATGATGGTGATAGTGTGGTAGTGTTCTTGGTTGCTCCACTTGGCCAGAGACAATTTTACCTAAAGCACTTAAACCCCGAGAAGTACAATTGAAAAACTGTTCAGTTCGGTGTGTCAAAAGGCAAATAAGAAGCTCCTTGTCAAAGACACTAAGGTTAAAGTTAAAAATAATAATCTGAGCTAATACTGCTGTGAATTGTATCTGACTCTTATGTTCTTAAAAAGCCAAGCAAACTTACACCAATATCCCATTCCATAATTTTGTTAGCTGCCTGTCTAACTTTTGATCGGCCTCTTTATTTTTTAAAAAAGATGCAAAGAATATATCCTGGCCTCATATGAAGGCAGGTGGCCTACCTGGGAACTAAACTACTTTGACCACTGAAATGATTAACCGTTCAATATAAATCTGTTTTAAATCAGTCTGTGACAAATGTGCAGTGTGAGATTCATTTGAAAAACTCACTTAGGAACGTAGGAGTAAGTTGTAGTGATGCTATATTATTAAAGACTAAAAAGCATGTTAGAAATCTAACTATGGGTCCTCTTCTCAGAAATCGTATGATACAATTAGAGACTTAATGCTTTTTGTATTTTCAATAGACAATATAATCAATTGGGTGATAATTAGAAAATGTTATCCCAAAATATTTTTAAAAGCTGATTGAAAAAGGTATATAATATATTTGAAGGAGATAAACCCAGTACTGGCCATAAATTGTAGAATAATTCATTTCAGCTATCGTAACATTGGACTTTAAATTGGCATGTTTGCCTGCAAACATTCCCTAACTCTATTGTTGCAACATCAACTGAACATTTATAACAAATACTCTGACAGTACCTTAAAAAAAGAACAAATATAACAGAGAAAAGGTAAGGTAGTAAATATGAATATTATTTAAAAAATGGAAAATTGTTAATAGATTGACTAGAGGAAAATAATCTTTATATATATCCTCCTGTCCATATGATTCATTCACACACACACACACACCCTAACTATAGGTATATAATATACCTGGTCTACTGTTAATACAATGATCAAAAGTAGCTAAAATACTTTTTTAAAGAGGATAATGAGACACTTTAGAACTACCTCTTGCAGAAGATGTCACTAGATTTTGTTTTAAAAAAGCCCTTTTATAATAGAATGCTTTCCAGCAAAACTGTGCAGAGCTAAAGACACATGAAATGCGCAAAAGCATTTTAGCTACCTGCTCATCAAACCCTAAGTAGCAGCCATTGGGAAGTACTGGGGTATCTTCAGTGGATTAAAAAGGAGAAGATGGCAGCCACAGCCAAAACAATCCTCATAATTGTGCCATATTACTACACATATGGCACTAAATGAATGGGGGGGGGGACCGCCAATTTATGTAAGACAACTCACATTTATCATAGGAAGTAGTATGGGACCTACCTCTCCTAGATCTTTCTACCTAGTAAGTAGATCCACTTTTAAGCACATTGGAAGGTATTTGGGGCCATGGGTATTGCAACCCAAAGTTATTAAGTGCTCTCTTCACCCTCTGAAAGACTGAATGGTAAATGTTCCCTCATGACAAATCCATGCTAATATCATGTCATTGGCAATAATAAAGAGCTTGAGAAAGTTTTTCAATTTCCCAACCAGCCTATAGCCTTGGCATTTGTATTAGTTGAAGTCCCATCAAAGACTAATTAGATCCAACCTTGTTTTCCAAGACCTACCTGTTTCAACTGAATACCTCTAGGATTCGGCAGAATACAATGGCTGTTAATAATAACCCTCTGAAGTAAACCAAAGATATAGCTGCCAATTAGGCAGTGAGCCCTTTTGCTTACAAAGTGCACAAGCAGAAAGAGAAAATGTATGATCCATTTTTCATCCTCTTACGGTCTTGGATAAATCCAAGCATTCCTTTTTAATCACTTCATTTCATCCAATGAAAGGGCAGCCTGCTGAAAATATAATACTGAGTGTTGCTTCTGGTGCCTCAGTTGAATCATTAGATGAGTCTCCATGCACTCTGTATTTCCCCCCCACATACAAAAAATGCTACTTTAGCTAATGTTCTTAGCTACTGCCTGGGCAGCTGCAGTATCTATGTACCTGTAACCCATGAAATCATTTACCCTAATGCTGGAATGCTGTAATGAAAGAAGTGGGAGACCTATGAAGAAAGGCAGGCCCCAGCTTAAATGTCTGAGTTTGAAGTTTGGTAAAACAATGGAGAGACTTTTCTGAGTCTCTAGTGAGTTTAACTACTCCTGCACATGATCTCTGTCCTTCTGTCCATCTGTCCAGTTGTCCATTTTCTATCCTTTCTAAGGATACATTTTTAAAAGCATCACTTGACAATCCAGTAAGTGAGTAACAGTCAAATAAAGTTGCAAGGATCAAAAAGTGTTTATCATGACTGAACCTGGGAGATTCTTTTCTTTGACCTTGTGCAGACATGCTATGTCATGGGGAGAGCAGTTTTATCCAGAAACAGTTGTCGCTCTTCAAAGATGAGAGATGTTATAGATTCTCTTCTGATATCCTGATTTAGTAGGTGGAAACATGAATGGTGAACTAATGTATATGGTGAACAAAGAGCAAATTCTGCATTAAAATTTGAAATGAACATAATCCCAGTTCTTGAATTGTTCTGATTTAGTCTGCAGTCCTATTGGATATTCCTGGTCTCAGAAAAGACCTATTTCAATAATTCCAGGCTTCTGTTTTAGGTTAAAGAGGAAGGAGGGACAAGCTGTACTTTGATACGATTTGAATGAAGGGGATGTGCACATTTTTCCCCACTGGATGGAAGTCCCCAGTGCTAGCATATACAGGAGCACAGAGCACTGTTAACCCTAGCAATCTGGCTTTAACTCAGATGCTTGTTCTTCTTCTTCTTCTTCTTCTTGCTCAGGGCCTAAAGGACTGTCACAAGATATAGTAGATGATGTGTTTGCTTCATTCAGGGTTGAACTAAAATTGAGAAAGAAAAAGAGTGAGAATTAGGACCATTCAATTGTGGTAGATATAGCTGAATGGCAAGAATCATCATCATTATTATCATCATTGTCACTATCATCATGGTCATTAGTGCCATAATAATTAGTGTCAAAATCAGGATCATCCAGTTTGATTTTGGAGTTAGTGGTGCAAGAGAGAGATGACAGAAAAAATCAGAGACATGCTCTTAATTTTGAAAAAGAATTTGCTAGGGGATAATTTGGAAGGGTTATTTAATGAATATATTTCTCAGAGAAGGCATTCTGCATTCCTTAAAGTTCTTTTCAACAATATTTTTCATATTCATTATATTTTCCTAGCTAGGAGAATAAGCCGTTGGGACCGAATGTCATGATAGGCACCACAAATTAAAAATATTCTAACCTTGCTCTGCTGCTAGAGGCCTCCGGAGGATTATTACTGTCTGCCTCTGGTTTAAGATCAGGCAAAGGAATGATATAATCATTGTCCACTCCATTCTGCTCCACAGCTGCATAGAGGACAGAACTTGAACTGACACTGTCACTTGCAGTGGATCTAGAAGCACTGAATCCTGTGTTCCTGGGCCTGATACGCACAATAGCCGGGTGATCACTTTTCAAGAATTCTTCATTGACCTGTTGATACTTCTGCCCTCATGCAAGGCAGTGAGAATAGAAAGGATGGATGAGTACATACACCTATTCATATACACGAGACACAGCTCTATACTGAACATTTTTTTTATACTTGAGTTATAATACATCTGGATGTTGCAGTAATAGTTAATATATTATCAGTGCAATTCCAAACATTTAGAAGTCATGGTTACTGAAAATGGATGGAACTTTCTTCTAAGTAGATTTTTTAGACATATATGAATTGTGGGATCTCCAGGAGTGAATGATGAGGTCAAATGCATCTCAATATGGGGACAATGAATGCGTACTGTGTGTTTACCTTTTTTAAAAAAAAAAATGCGTTGTATAAGCCAAACGTTTTGGTCATGTATCTATACTTTGCTAACTTGAGATATGCCAGCTTTATCTTTTAAATGTTTAAAGGGCTTTGGATGATGAATGAAGCTATTTGTCACATTAAATCTGGTTCAACCTGAGATTGTAGTGCATATCTTGCAGTCTGGTGCACCAAGCTGTAGCTATTATAGTTAATCAGATTCCCTTTCCTTCTACATGTCTGACTTATTTCAGAAATATGAGCAGACTGACTGACTTGTTGAGGTCACCAGAATGCAACAGTCTGGATAGAACAGTTCTGAAAATGCCAAATTCTATGTTCCTGTCAGTTATTTTACTTCAGATTTCAGGGGTACCTGAGAATCTCCCCAAAATGAGGCTGATGTAGAAATGGGTGGGGCATTCAACCCACAAATTTACAGAAATACATCCCAGGGTTCCTACTATTGTTTCTGGTAAATAACACGATTCATGGTTAGAAACATTATAGTGCAAAAGACACTAAACTAGAGAATTTTGATACAACAATATGTATATATCTGGTTTATTTCCCTACCTCCCACTCCCCAACAAAGTAAGGCTTCACTTACAAGTATGATTATAGCATGCTTTTTATAGAGAAAGCTATTAGGATGTTGAGCTGCTTATTGAAACTGCTCCCATCATTCTAATATTAAACCACTGGGCATTACATACAAAAACCTAAATCTTTTAAGAGCTTATGACAATGGAGAACAATAGGTCAAGGTTTAGAATTCTGGATGTCAATTAAACCTTGGAACCACATCAAAAGTGCTAAATCACTAGGAAACATATTTTTCAGTACTTTCTCCAAATAATGGCCAACTGGAGACGAGTACTCAGTCCCATATCCTTTCTATGGGTAAAGGAAAATATATTATTTAGATTTTGATTTTAAAACTGATCCTCTTTATCTTTCCAGGTCAAATATAGTTTACCTTCTTGTAGCTGTCTGTTAGCAGGTTCCCCATAAGCACTACCAGTTGAAAGAAAGATGGTCGGATCTCAAACTTCTCTTCCCAGCATTTCTGCATAATTTCATAGCTAAAAACATGTGAAAGAAGATTTCATGGTTTGGGAAAGTCTTGGAAAGTGGATATTTTCCCTACTTTAGATAGACAATTGTTTACCCAAACCACTCACATTTCATTGGATGCATGGGTAGGTTTGGACATCCGGTAGCCACGTTTAATAGCATTATAGAATTGCTCGTTCATAGGCAGTTCAGGATATGGAGTCCCACCTAAGAACAAAAAAGTGAACTTAAGCAACCACCACTTCTTTCTCAGTTTCACACAATGGCTACAGTTGTTGGGAATGGTCCCTCTCGGACAGAAAAATGGATGACACTAATATAAATAGAGAAGATTGTGTAGATAGACTACAGAAGTAACAGTTTTTCATTTTAAACACAGAATATTTGGAAGGCAGGATATAGTAAAGGTTAAAGATATAGCAACGCTGACCAAAGAGACATACCTAGAGTGAATATTTCCCATAGAAGAATCCCAAAAGACCACACATCACTTAAGGTAGTGTAGAGGTTATTGAAGATGCTCTCAGGGGCCATCCATTTCAAAGGCAAGAAGGTCTATTTAAAAAGGTAAAATGGATTTTATTTTTTAAAAAAACTTACCATAGCACTGACCACTGAAGGTTTTTGAATGGTTACTTTGCTAATTATACTTTTCTGTGAATGTTAATGGAACTAATTTATTTGGAACCTGGGAAGAACTACGAGTCCTTCTTAGTCAAGAAGGGGATTTCATGACTATGATCTTGCTATTGTCAGTCCTGCTCAGTATGATAGCAATATGATAAAATGTGACTCGGATCAGCAGTTAAACACTTAGTCAAGTAATTAACAGTAACAAGTTCTAAATTTTGTATGTAGAGAATGGATTGCTGCTTCAAAAGTAATTTAAAAGATCACAACCCAAATCCAATTTCAAGGAAAGGATGGCTATTTCAAAACCAGAGATGGAAGGAGGAAAAACTTCAAATACTCATTTTCTTTACAAGTTACAATGTATGGACAAAATACCATATATTGAAAGCTAATAAGGCTTCAGTGAAGACACAGCCTCTGACATTGCACAGGTCTCTAATCATATCCTTGAGCTTGTAAATATTAATGCGTCCAAACAGGGCCACTTTAATACATAGAAACCTCTATTTACATTCTGACTATTATGTGTATTAGATTGTTTCCATAGTGACATACAATAGTGCAGTGAGGGAGAATTGGAGATTCATGCAATATTAGGAAGACAATATAGCTGCCTCTTAAGTGCAAACTAGCTCTTTGTGCTTCCCCAAATAACTGAGAACTGTCAATAAGATTGTCTTACCTTTATTTTAATAGTTTCTAGTTTTAATGAATTTTATTTGTATTGAAATACTGATATTGAGAACTGTTAGCCATAAACTAACCTACATAAAGGATGGTTGTGAGCTTCCAGAGATCAAAGAATTTAAAAACGCAGCCTAAAATAATCTGGAGGAACATTAAATTGGATAGAAAAAAAATTGGATTGGCTGAACAAAAGATATCCTCAACAGAAGGACAGTTATATTATGCTTGTTACCACCATTTCCTGTATTCATCTCCCCCAGCTTATGCTTTTCTGCGACATGTGAAATAAGTCTGCTTCTGGTTTTTTTTTTCCCTTCATTTAGCAGCTTGCGTGCTGTCTAATCACCATCTTCTAGGGCTGAAAGAGGGCTCGGTTGTGCAACCAGCACCAAAAAATAATTTCCAGGAAGAATTGCAAAGAGCCAGGGGTTTCGTTTCCTATTTACTGGGGAATGTGACAGGGTAAGGGAGATTGAGACGTGCCTTCTGTTTCCAACTGTGCAAAATGATTCATATTGTGACTCTAGTTGTACTGTTACAGTCCTTGAAAGCCTCAACTTCTGTGTGTGTGTGTGTGTGTGTGTACCTACCAAATTCTATTGGCATATCTCACATATAAAAGAGACCTGAAGAATGTGTAACTTTGCAAAGTAAAGTCTCTTTTTAAATTCAGGAAAAAGTTCATCTTCCAGAGACTTTGAAATGAAGATACTTCCATGCAAAATCATCAATGAAGAATGTTAAAAACTGGTTCAATTATCTGGTGGGTGGAGCCAGAATAATCTATGTGAAATCTTTGTTTCTTTCTGAAACAAAGTTCCTTGAGAATACTTTGTGACTTCACAATAAAAAATCACAATTTAAACAAACGAATAAACTTTAGAAAAACAAAAATCATTAAAACAGCGATAAAATTGTTAAAATAGCAGCAGCGACATAAATGTGTATCTCAATTCTCTTAAAAGTGTAAGGAAATAGCCAAATTATTGTGACCCATTTAAAAATTATCAGGGAAATCGCTAAACGTACACTTTTGGTAAGGCAAAACAGGGATGTGCCGTATCTCTTCAGGCTAAGTTTGGTCTAGTTAAAAATATAATGTAGAAGATGTCTTCTGAGAATTCATAGTTCTGACTCTGAATGGTGGCTGCATGCTTGAGGATTTGAAATTCAGATTTGTGGGTATGTGCCTTCCCTAAGAGATTAAAAAGGTCAGGTGGACCAAGGATCCTAAATGTATGTTTAACTCTTCCTATTTTGGTCAAAGGGACACCTACAGGCCAAGGTAATCTTGCTACTCACATTCCCTTTGGAAATATAATTTGAATCCCGCATGATGTCCCTCGCTAAGCCGAAGTCACAGATCTTCACCAGTTTCCCTTCGCAGATCAGTACGTTTCTTGCAGCCAGATCACGGTGCACACACTGGATAATAGGGAAAAAGACATGCTGAGTGTGCAGACATATATGTTGGGTGTCCTAATTTTTCTTTCAAACAAAATTATTGTGCCTCGAAGTTCTTCAGAATGAAGCATTATCACAAAATGCAGTGAGACATATAATGAATATGCTGAAGAGGTGCTCAGGCAGCTGCTCTAGAGAGATGTGGAAACAACTGTAGCGTTACCTCCTCAGAGGCCGCCAAAACCCAGGCCCTCCCAGCCCCGTCCCCCTTCGTCAAGCCCTGCAGTAGTGTTCTCTAGGGGTTGGTAAGATGTCTCTTCCAGCCGGAGCTCATTCAGAGTTAGGAGGTAGCAGACTCTTGTCGTCAAGGAGGGGGCTTCCAGGAACGAAAATAACCAGCCACGATAGTCAATGCTATGATGATATCCAACAGCCCAAGGCCGTTATAGCAGCAGTAATTAAGGATTCCTTCACCTGACGAACTGCAACAGCCACCCCGTTCCTTTCCTTCCGTTCCTTTCCTTCCTTTCCTTTTCTTCCGCCCAGGCCGGCCACATCCAAAGCCAGCAGCAGCTGTCTCAATCTCTCCCTTCCCAACCCACCGAGCTCCTGCAAACACTCTCAGACAGCCCCGCTACACAACATTGTAGAAATACTGCTGTCTAAGCTTTATGACTTCATTTTGTCTTCTGACACCACAGCCTCATTTTGTAAACTTCATAATCCTTTAAAATACTCTGCAAAGGTAGTGCCAGAAGACCCACAAAAAATGCAAGTAGCAGTGCTTTAGCTGAGATACTTATTTTAAAGACCATTATCCCTGCCAGTCATAGGTTGCTCAAAGACTATTTGGAGTCAGTTTAACGTTTATTTGTTAAATTTATACACTGCCCACCTCATTGTTTGGGGCAACTATTAGGTGAAAGCAATGGTACACATTCATATTTTCATTAATGCAGCACCTTGGGCCTCTGACCACTGCTCTTTCTTTGAACAAACTGGTTTCTTAGGCGGGGGTTAGGTTCTTTTTATTATTGGCTGACTAGAGGACTCCTATCATTGAATAGCTCTTAAGTATCAGGCATGTGAAAGGATTCCTTTAGGCAGCAGGTGCCAGGATGCAGCAACTGGGATCTTCTCAAGTTGTTCCTCTTGAATTCAGCTGGGAAACAGCGATGTGAATGTCCCCACCCAGCCCGCAAACTAGCCTGTGCCCCTGGTGTAGACATCATCCTATCAGCAGTGTTGAAGGAATATTTGGTAGCCAATTGAACAAGGATTAGACACAGAATATTTTCTCTGTTATTGGAAATCTTGGGTTAAAACTAAGGCTGCTCTGTTCCACCTCCTTTGCCTTGCTTCACACACATGCAAGCCTTTGCAATAGGAATTTCAACCAGCCACAAGGGAACAGAAAAATGAGTTTGTTCCCATTGTTTACTATATTGTGGCATTTATGCCCATGGTTCCAAAGAAACTAGGATCATACAAAATCAGAGAATTTGATTTTGAACATTAAGTTTGTAGATCATGTTAAGCCGTCTTTCGTTTAACCACTGTTTGTTGAATAGCCACTGTTAACCGGTTCACATAACATGCTGTGTTTTAGAAACTACAAAGGCTGAATTCGTACCGCATTGCAGAATTATTTCCTTGTACTTTGAGATGCTGTGATTCTTTTGCCCTTCAAATTCATTATTTATTCAATGTATATGCCGCCTATCTTGCTATTCAAATTCATTGCTGGCAGAACTTGAGAAATTCTCAGTCTTACAGGTCAGGATGTTTCCTAGCCATTTTTTTTTAAATCTTGTGATACTAGCAATTCCTTGTGACATCCTTACTGTATGTGACATCTTAATGCTGGCTTGTGAGAATGCACCTCAGGAAAAACAACCACAGATTATGTGGTAACTTAGAAGCAGTTTTTGTCTGCACAAATTTTAGTCTTTTTTTCTCCTTGCCACCACTATTAGCCAAATGCCTTACGTGACAAAAAAGGCCCAACCCTAATCAAGATTATGGCAACATAGACATGCTGATGAGTGAGCTGTTATGTCTGAAATGAACCCTGTGACACAGTTAATTTGTTGTGATACTAGGCTGCACTGCAATATATATTTGTTTGCTACTTGAAGGAGAGGAACCAGTGGAATCCCTCCAATCAACCCGTTTAAATCAAGGTGCTTAATTCCCCAAATTAACCAGTTTTGGGAGCATATATAGCAAAATATATTCACCAGATCTTCTATCTAATTGGTAAGGAAGAATACAAACCAATAGTCAGCTTCCCATTCATGATCTATCAAATCTGCATTCTGAGGGACTACTTCACTTTGCTTGAAGAATCTGAACATACTGAGCTTAGTCTTTTTTTACTGAATGTCATGGCTTTTGGTTTGTGCATGCGGGGGGATTAGGTAAACACAGCTTGTTGTGAAAAAGGTTGCAGTAATGTCTAAAAAACCAACATACCAAAGTCTAGCAACACCTACAGTAACAGCCTCCTATTTATGCTTTTGAGAGAAACGCCCTTGTTCACTCCACCTGTTTCTGTTTCTTTGAGCACAAACATGTACTCAACCACCCCCTTTCTCTTTTGAAATCAGATATCCATAACTATAATTATATAATTCTGAGTGCAAACATATTTACGTTTTTAGAAGCTAAGAACTCCATTCCCTTAGCCACTTGGAAGCTAACTCCAACAAGATCAATATAACTGAGGAGAGGAGACTCGCTGATCAAGGTTACTTTTTCTGAACCTGGAAATAAAAAATAAAATATAAAATACAGTGTTTATTAAATCATATTTTAAAAGGATAGAGACATAACACCTTTCTGCACATATACACTATAACGGTCTTGTTGGAATATAAGATCAATGGAATCGGAAGCTTCCTTCACCCAACATTAAATTATACAGATGTCCTCAACTTATGACCACACCTGGGACCAGAATCTCAGTCATTGAGTGAAGCAGCCATTAAGCAAGATGTCACACGACTGCTTTGCTCAATGACTGCAATCCTGGCAATCTTTAGGTGATCTCACGGGTTAAGTGGATGGAATCCCAGGTTAAGATTGCAGGGTGCCTCAGGAAGGGTGGGGGAGGCCGCGGACAAGCTGAGAGTGCTGTAAAATGGCACAAAGCCCCAACCGCCAGACCACCCACCCAGCCCCACCAGGACAAACAAAGCACTACACTTATCTTACCTTTGCTGTGGGTTTTTCCAGCTGCTGACAAGATTAACAGGATTTTCAGACCTAGAGTAGAGAAACATCCCTCTGCTCTGGTGCTACAAATCCTCCATGGCTGAAAATCGGATGGACTTTTTACAGCCAGCCCCAGAAACCAGAGGGAGTCCTCTTGACAGGCAGCAGCAGTTTGCGACCTTGCCTGCCAGCGTCCCCAATTGACTTTCTGGGGAAGCCTTCAGGGAAGATTGCAAACAGTGATCTCATATTTTGAGGTGCATGGCAACCAATTGTAAGTGCAGACGGGTTCCCATCACCCAGATTGAGATCACATAACCATGTGGGCACTGCAATTGCTGTAACTTTGCCCACAGGCTGTAAGTCCTTTTGTTCTACACTGTTGTAACTTTGAATGGTTGCTGAATGAATGGTCGTTAAGTTGAGAACTACTTCTCAACTGGATGAAACACTTAAGAATGAACAAAACTTCATTTTTTGTAATTTCTCTTAAAGGAATTAAATCACCACAAACATATTTGAAAAATAATTATGCAAACTATTTTTCGGTAATCTCTCCTACCTGATGGCGAATAGCTGTCCAGCTCATAGGTCGTGCCATAATTGGAAGAATCAATGTCTACATATTTGATTTCACCCTTCATGTCAGACATGGGCACATAATCCAGTGATTCATCCTTACTCATGTCCATGTAGCCCCCATCACTTTCTACAGATATGGATGTATGGCTGCAGAGATAAGTTATTTAAGCTGTTTGATTGTCCCTTTAGAACAGATTTCTGATAATAAGCCACCCCTAGTATAAAATCAGGAAGGCAAGAATCAAAACATAACAGTCTTTTCTCTCCCACTATTTGTTTACAATAGTAAAAGCTGTTCCTAGGCAAAGGGAAAGTGGAAGGGAAATTATTTCATGGAGGAAAAGAAAGCAAAATATAATGATTGCCTCATGGATGCCAGAGAAATATTCCAAGTGAAAGATAAATTAGGTGCTGTGATTTATGCACACATTATTTACCAGCAAGACTGAATCAAAGATTACCGCATGTGAGACATGCAGTATGTGCATGTGGTCAAATGCCTGAGTTATGAAACATCTTGCCTATTATCAGTAATTGAAGGCTATTGCGTGTATACAGCATGTACCAAAAGTTGAGCCCTATGGGCCTATCACAATATATTTTATCATATTTCTTTTAAGAGAAAACCTTGTACTTAGGAATATTCAAAAAGCATACTTCAAATGAATTAGGAAATGTTAAATGTACATGTAGTCCTCGACTTATGTCTAGCCATTTAGTGACCAAAGTTCTGACGGATCTCCACAGGACTATTTATGACCTGGATTTAAAGTTCTGATAGCCGTCCCATTTCCCATGGTCACATGATCCCATTTTAGTTGCTGCACAACCGGTTCATATTTATGGCTGTTTGCAATATCCTGTGGTCCTGTGACCACAATTTATGATGCTTTTTGTTTGAAAACCAATGTTTATTTCCAGTTTCTGGTAAAAAAAATGATCATTATGGACAATGGATTCACTTAATGACTTCTACAAAAATGGTTGTAAAATAGGGCGCTATCACTTGCTTAGTGACTGGCTCAATTTATGACCGTAATTCAAGGTTCAATTGTGATCTAGGTCAGAGGACTATCTGTAAACCAATTCAAACTTTTAATGTACCTTATATATTAAATTGTCTATGGGCCATGACTTTTAGAAACACCCTGTAAATTTGTATAGAAAGTACCATAACTAGAGGAATCTCTGAATATCCCTTCCTATGACAAAATTTCATATATATAAAACTTTGAAATCTCTCATCATTTGGTACATGCAACACTTCTTACTTGCTAATATTGATTGAAATTGGCATGCTTTTTTTGCTTTTAAAGAGATGCTTTTAAATTTAAGTTACATAAATGAAAAATGACACCAGGATGAAAATAGAAACAAAAGCTGTTTAATGTAAAATCACTTAGCTTTCATCGGCAGAGTGAAAGCAAAGTGTTTACTTATATGGCCGGCTGCTTCTGTGCCCTACTCTTTGAGCGAGTCACCGGTCCATTCGCTTNCTCTCTTATTACTTCAAATAGCATTTAAACCTCATTCAAATAATTATATCTAAAAAAAGAACACACCTATTATTATACAAAACATCGTCTTGCTAACTTAACACACTCAATTAGTTGTTAAAGCTATCCGAATTTTTAAAAGCCTCTTTCATATTCTTATTCTCATTCCATTACAAAATAATTTTCATACAAATAAACATTCGAAAAAAATACATTCTTACTCTGTTTAACATATATATTCTAATAATCACAAATTTTCAACTCTAAATCTTAATCCTTAAATCAATCCATATTTCTCAAAACCTTTTTAATTCATTACATATAATTTCAAATTTCTCTTTTTAGTCTTATTCTGGCTTTCTTCCTACGCCAAGCAGGCTTCCATAACAAAGCCTCTATTTCAGCAAATAGATCTCCCATTATTGCTTGTAATATCATTTGGGTCAGTAAAAGAACTCCCATCCTCTGTTTTTGACGCCTAATTCCTGTCTGCTGGATAAAACACTCGCTCATGTCCAATTTTATAATTAATAGTTGATTATCAGAGTTGTCATAATTCTCCAACAGTTGTAATTTCAAGTCCATTTCTGTTAGTTTTGCAGTTGTAGATAGTTTAGTTACAATCATTTTTTGGTCATCCAAAGTCTCCATAGGTTGTATGTAAATTAATTCCTCTTCTGTTGCTTTTTGGTCTGTAGAATGATCAAATAGATTCTGAAGGTCAGTTTGTAAATTCACAGTAGAATTTCTGTTTATTATTTCTGCAGTTCTCTCTCTTATTTGGGAACATATTTCCTCAGTAGCTTCATAAATTTTTTCCAGTATGAGTTTACAGTTATGGTTTCCCCATTTCAATAGTAACACAAACAAGAAACGGTTGCAGTTAAATTTCTCCACAAGATGTCCTCAGTAAACTATGAAAGTCTCTTCCAGACATCAAGAATGAGGTTAGCAAAGTCAGAGCTATGGAGTCTCTTTTCCGGCTTCTTATAGAGTTGTTGTTTTTATCAAACAATAAAGATTTATCCCTTTAAAAAAGTAAGTCCAAGACATAGGAAGACACTATTCTCCAGCTTAGAATATATAATAATAAAGTTTTATGATAAGGATTTTTCCAGGGCCCCCAAGTAACCAAAAATAAAAATAATAAATAAGTTTTTTCCTTTGTTATGGAAAGCTCTTTTCCCCAGATAAACAAAGGCAGCTCTTTCAAAGCAGGGAAGTAATTCCAAAAGGCTTTTGACAGGAGAGTAGTTAGGTAAGGTAGAAAGAGAGAGGGAAAAGCTTCAACAGGATCATCCACGATGGTTTCTTAACGCTTAGATGTTCTTTTGACTTTCAGCTGGAGCGGCTAAATAATCGGCCATGTTACTGGCCGATCTTTCTCTCCGTCGGTCCTGAGGAGCTGCCTCGGACCGTGGAAGGAGCAGCCTCCTTCCCCGCAATCAACGAGAGTCCTCCTCATCGGTAGTCACCCCTCCAGGGTGACTTTTCAACCCGATTGAGGGTCTACCGGCAGAGGAAAAGCAAGTAACGAAGAGAGAGAGCCTCTTCGTGTGCCTGCACCCACTGCAACCCAAACAGGAAGTCACAATGTCTTGTTTCTTGATGACTGCAAACGTGTCATCCACGTATCAAGCCCAAAATTTGGGACGGTACTTGGCCATCACCACAGCTTCCAATTGCTGCAGGACTGCCTCCATGATAACACCTGAGGCAGTCCTGCAGCATCNTGCTTTTTTTGCTTTTAAAGAGATGCTTTTAAATTTAAGTTACATAAATGAAAAATGACACCAGGATGAAAATAGAAACAAAAGCTGTTTAATGTAAAATCACTTAGCTTTCATCGGCAGAGTGAAAGCAAAGTGTTTACTTATATGGCCGGCTGCTTCTGTGCCCTACTCTTTGAGCGAGTCACCGGTCCATTCGCTTTGATCGGCCATAGTGCTCTTAGTTGTCCCGCATCTATCAGTATATCAGCGGGTTCACAAACTGTTTCCCCTCCCACAGTCGCTCTCCTAGTGTGCGTACAGATGCCCAGTGGCTGGCCATCCACCCGCTTTAGCTCTTTGCCCTCCTCTCCCCTCTCTTCTAACTGAACCTGAGCATCCGTCTCAGAGTTGAATTCGGGGCGCGCTATAGATTCACAGTCCTCCTTGGTGGTCGCGATTGTTTCACCTACAGCCCCGCCGTTCTGATTCTGCAAGGAGCGGGGTGGTTGCATTCGTGAATTACGGTGCTGTCCGTCCCACCCCTAAGTGTCTGGTAAGCAAGTAAGAGGTCTATATGTCAGTTGATCGAGTTCTCGTCAGATAGCCAGGCCTCCTTGAGCAATCGGCCCCCCTTGGTGGCATCTCGAGATATGGCCTCAGCTTTGGCAAGATCAAACATGTGGCCATAACTGGCCATATGAGCCCATACTGTGAGCGCTGCTCTTGTCTCCTGATCGCCAACTCATGTTCATGAATCCTAGTCTTGAGCCTTTTGGTTGTTTCCCTAACGTAATTACATGGGCAATTCTTACACTTAATTCTTTATATAACAGAAGATCTTTCATCATTGGGGAGCGGCTCTTTGGGGTGCATGATCATGGTGCGCAGGGTCTGGTCCGGTCTATGGCAACGTTTACGTTAAAGGGAGCCAACAGCTGTTCTGTTGCCTTGGACACACCATTGATATACGGAAGGGTCGTTTGTGTGGTCAGTGTTGTTGGCGTGTTGGCGTGTAGACTGCCACGAGGTTCATATGGCCTGCTGTGCCGCCTAATGAACTCAGCAGGATAGCCGTTATGCCTACAGATCTGATAGATGCGGCTCCTCTCCTCAACTCTGGCTCTACCTGTGTTGCAGTGTGAGCTAATATGCTTGAACATTGTTCTGACGCAACTGATCTTATGCGCCACAGGATGGTTACTCCTGTAATATAATGTTCTGTCAGTGTGGGTCGGCTTATGGTAGATGGTCGTATGCAGGGTACAATTGGGTTGACGGCTGACCAGTACATCTAGGAAAGCGAGCGTGCCTTAGGTCTCCTCTTCCGCCGTGAAACGGATGTCACGATACACTGAATTTAGCTCATCCATGAAACTAGCAATGTCTTGTTTCTTTTCTTTTCTTTTTTTTTAACAAATTTTATTGGTTTTTTTTAACTTTTACAACAGAATGCTCAAGACACACCGTGGTGGTTAGGTGATCAATCATCCAAAAACAAAATCATATAATAGCTCAAGTAAATACATTAAATGTTCCCTCTCTATTTACCTCAAATAATATAACCTATTTAACATAATCCATTTCTACATTACATATCTATAAATCCTAATCCTGTTTTGAGCTTTATTAATTTACAATTACCTGTTCTGTCCCCCGTCCGACTCACACACCCCAACCAGTCAGCCGAGGGTTAAAAGACTGCTCAGCACTGCCAAAAACACAGATAAACACTTGGCAGCAACTCCGTGGCTGCCTGCCAAGACCTTTACTGATAACTCACAGTACAAATACAAATCAAAGTCCAGGATAGTTCCGAAGTGCTACAACAGAAGATTCAGTATTGTTCGTCACAAGAGTTGCAAACGGCACACCCCTTGCTTATATAGCCTGTGGGGTGTGGCC